TTTTATTCTATTTATTTATTTTTATGTGGTGCTGAGGATCGAACCCAGGCCCTCTCATGTGCTAAGCAAGCGCTATACCACTGAGCCACAACCCCAGCCCCTGGAGATATTTTTTTTTTTTAAATTTTTGTACTTGTAGATGGACAGCATGCCTTTATTTATTTATTTTTAAATATTTTTTGGTTGTAGATAGACACAGTACCTTTATTTAGTTATCTTTATATGATGCTGAGGATTGAACCCAGGGCCTCACACATGCTGGGTGAGTGCTCTACCATTGAACCACAACCCTAGCCCCGTGCCTTTATTTTTTATTTGTTAATTTTTACGTAGTGCTAAGGATCAAACCCAGTGCCTCACACATGCTAGGCAAGCATTCTGCCACTGAGCTACAGTGCCAGCCCAAGGTTGGAGATACCTTTGTTAGGTTTTTTTTTTTTTTTTTTTGGATGACCTATTGGTGATAAGGATGTATTTAAATCTGCCAGTATTATTGTGTTGGGGTCTATGTGGAATTTAATGTAATGGAGTATTTTTTCCATGTAATTGGGTGTATTGAATTTTTTGTTGGATTATTCTCTTTACTGGGATATAATGGCCTTTTTTTTTGGTTTCTTATTAATTTTTGCTTGAAATCTACTTTGTCAAATATGAGAATACCTATTGCTGCTTGTTTTCTTGGACCATATGCCTGAATGTTTTGCTATACTTTTACATTCAGCCTGTAGGTGTCTTTGCTTGTAAGATGGGTCTCTTGTAAACAGCATATACTTAGATTTTGTTTTTTTATCCACTCTGCTAATTTGTGTCTTTTCATTGGGGAGTTGATTCCATTAACATTTAGTGTTAGTATATATATATATGTTTGCGGTTTGCTGCCATTTTAGCTTTTTGCTATATATCATCTTGATTTGAGTCTCATTTAGTAGATTATTCTTCTTTTGAACTTACTCTGTTTAACAGTGGACTTTGGAAATTGTTTTTTGGTTCCTCTGTGTGAAGTCTGTCTTTGAATAGTCTTTGTAGTGCTGGTTTGGTATTCATGAATTCTTTTAGTTCATTCTTTTTTTAAAAAGTTTTTTTTTTCTTTTTTTTTTTTTAGTTGTAGATGGACACAATACCTTTATTTTATTTGTTTATTTATTTAATTATTTTTATGTGGTGCCAGGGATTGAGCCAGTGCCTCACGCATGCTAGGCAACTGCTCTACCACCTCGGCCTTCTTTTAGTTTATTCTTGCTGTGAAATGTTTTTATTTCCCTCTTGAATTTGAAACTGGGTTTTGCTGGGCATAGTAACCTTGGCTGACAGTTATTTCCTTTTAGGGCTTAGAATATCTCATTCCAGGCCCTCCTTGATTTTAGGGTCTAAGCAGAGAAATCAGAAGTGAGCCTTATTGGTTTGCCTGTCAATGTGACCTGATGTTTCTCCCTTGAGGCTTTTAGTATTCTTTCCTCATCTTCTATGTTAGGCATTTTGATTATGATATATCTTGGCGAGGTTCTCACTTGACTTGGTCTATTTGGGGTCCTGTAAACCTCCTGTATGTAGCCGTCTGTCTCGTTTCTGATATGGGAGAAGTTTTCTCTATCTCATTGAAAATATTCTTTATGCCTTTAGTTTGTATCTCCATGTTCACTTCTATTTCAATGATTCTCAGGTTTGGTCTTTTAAAGTTGTCCCAGAGTTCTTGTATATTCTGCTCATGTTCTATAATTTTTCCCCTTTATTACCTTCTGTGTACTTAAGATCATGTAACCCATCTTCAGGGCCTGAATTCTGACTTCAAAGGTGAGATTCTATTTTCAACACAGTCTAGTCTTTTAGTGATACCTTCCAGTGAGTTTGTAATTTGATTGATTTATCTTTGATTTCTAGGAATTCCCCTTGATTTCTTTTTACTATTTCTATTTCTTTATTAAAATGGTCTTTTATATCCTACAGTTGCTGTCTTGATTCCTTCCTTAGATCTTTTTTCGGTTCATTGAACATTTTTTCATTAATAAGTTTTTTATAATCTTCCTCTGGAATTTCATCCACCGATCTATGGGGGGGGGGGCTGCTTTGCTGGGGGATGTGGTTTGCCTGTTTTCTCATATTTTTGAAGTCTTGGTCTTGAGCATCAGTTGAAGTGGATTCCTCTGCCTCCTTTTTTGTGCGTGCCCTTCTGTATGAAGTTGTCTCTTGTTCTGAGACTTCTCTCTGTTTTTGATGTGTGAGTAGATACCAAGGATTAGGGTCTGAGTTCCCTCTCTGGTTGTTCCTCCTTGTTGTTTGGGGTTTTTTGTCTCTTCTCTTCTTTGAGTCGGAGTAATGTGAGGGAATGTTTAGTTTTGCAGCCAAATCTCTTAACCTATGAACTTTTTTGTGTCCCTGTAGTTTCCCAGTACTTCACAGAATTGGGGGCAAAATAAACAATAGTAACAACTGTTGCAACAACAAACAGTAAACCGTGTTAAAGTACAATACCCAGATCCTACTATGGTGTCTGCAACAGTAATTGACACCAGTAAACAAGAATGGTGGGTTTAGCAATTGTCAGCAGTGAGGACAGTAACCTGGAGCAGCTCTGGCAGGAGCAGGTGTCTGCCTTCTCCCCCACAGTGGTGATGGCTGCAGTAGCATTCTGGTGGGCAGGGGTATCTGTCTATCCTCCACCTTGGGCTCACACCACAGAGCTGCCTGGGAAGCAGCCTCCTCTACTCCGCCTTCTCCCCGGTCCCCCGATATGAACTTCAGGAACTACTAAGGCAGTTCCTGTGATCATGACACACAGATAAAGGGGGAAAGGAGACCATCTTGAGTCTTCCCCGCCAGACATGACCTCAGGAAAGCAGCTTCTTCTAGCTCCTCTGCTGTGTGTGGGTGAGACGGCCTCTGGAACCACAGGACGTGGTCTGTGCTTTTCCTGGTTCCTCATCCTGTGGGTCTGCGTGGTCCCCACTGCCTGGGAAGAACTCATTAGGCTGTTGTTCAGAGACCTGGCAGACAGAGCCTTCAGTGCTGCCACCTAGCTCTCTGGCCCCTCTGCCCTCAGTGGCCCTGTGGTGTCCCCTGTCCAGTCTTAAACAGCCCATGAGGTGAGTGCTGGCTACTCCATTCACAGACAGAACTCAGCCAGTGAGGAGGAACCCACGCTGACCCAGCCCTCAGGACCCTCTCCACACACCTAGCCCACGTGCCTGCAGCCCTGTTCACACTTCTCTCTGGTCCCCAGTCCAGCTTTTTAGCTCCCTACTGCTGGGCCTCTCTGACTGGCAGGCCCCTCAGAGCTCTGAAGGCTGCTCACTCTTGTGGGGGCTGAGGAGGAGCACCCAGCCCATGGCCGGCCAGGAACCCATATTCTTCCCCTTCTACATATGGACAGTCACCACATTTAGCCAGTTATTTCCTCTAGATTCTCTCAAGCCCAGGTCCACCCCCCCCCCCACCTTGGAAGCACCTTGACTTAGGCATTAACCACAGTTGGCAAGGGAAGGTCATAGCAGCAGACCTCAACCAAGTGCTTCCTGTGCATGGCTAAATAAAATTAAAAAAGGTCCATCAACATCTAAAAAAATATTTTAAAAAAAATGTAGCGTGTCCCTGGTTCAAGCTCTGTAAACCCTAGCCCCTGTCACCCTTGTAGAAACCTTGGAGGACATGTATCCTCACTCCACATGCAGGTGAGAAAACCCCAGATAACAGAGTCAGGTAATGGCCCAGTATAGGGACAGTCTTTCAGCTCCATAGGACACCCCCTGGTGTCTGGCCTGCTGAGTCTATTTCCACTCCGCAGTATTCCCAGATGCATCGGATGAGAGGCAGAGCTTCAGGCCCTCAGGGGTGCTTTTGGGCAGGAGTGCCCATCCTGAGGTGACCAGTGCTTGCCAGATGCTAACAAGAGAACATAGTGATGTCATTATGGGATTACATATAATGGACTAAGAATCATTTATATGTGGTCATTTTTATCAAATGAAAAGTACATTATTCAGTTATTAGTATTTCTAAATAAGGAATTAATTACATAGTTCCGTACAACTTACACTGTATCATAAACTGCAGATGTGGCATTTCTCCAGTCTGTGCTTATTGACATGAAGGGACAAGGACATAGGCAGGAGAGGAAAGACAGGCTTCTGATGGAGAGGGGGTGACAAATGTGCTTGTGGCTTGGTCAAACTGAGACAGGATGGTTAGACAGGAGGCAAGAGACCTGGGGTGGAATGAGGAAGCAGGAGAAAGGCTACCAAGCCATGAAGTAGAGTCAGAAGATGTAGGCCACCAGAGGGGCTGGGGGGAGGGTCCCGCCGACCCTTCTAGTAGGCAGAATAGAGCAGCTGGAGCCAGGTGTGGTCGTGCACACCTGTGACCCAGCAGCTCCGGAGGCTGAGCGAGGAGGATGTTAAGTTCAAGCCAGCCTGGGCACCTTAGCAAGATGCTACCTCAAAATAAAAAGTAAAAAGGGCTGGGGAAGGGATGGAATTATGGCTCAGTGGTAGAGTACTCGCCTAGCACATGTGGGGTCCTTGGTTTGATCCTCAGCACCACATAAAAATGAATGAATGGAATAAAGATATTATGTCCAACTACAACTAAAAATTAAATATTTAAAAATAAAAAGGGCTGGGGATGTGGCTCAAAGGTAGCGTGTCGGGGCTGGGGTTGTGGCTCAGTGGTAGAGCACTTGCCTAGCATGTGTGAGGCCCTGGGTTCGATTCTCAGCACCACATATAAATAATAAGAATGAATAAAAATAAAAAAAGGTCCATCAACATCTAAAAAAATATTTAAAAAGAAAATGTAGCGTGTCCCTGGTTCAATTCCCAGTACTTAAATATATATATAAAATATACACCAGTTCACAGAAAAATATTATTTTTATTCTGTCCTGAGGTCTGCTCAGTGCTATGTCCTTGTCACATGGGTCTGTTCCATAAGAAGCAGATTATGTGAGCAGCTTCCTGAGAGTTGGGAAGTCTCATTTCACCTTCAGTGCTTGCACTGTGCCCTTTTAGATACCCCAACACAGCCTGTGAGCTTCTGACTTGTGATGTGCCACAGATCAGCGACAGGCTAGGCGAGGACGAGAGTCTGCTGAGCCTTCTGTACGACTTCCTGGACCAGGAGCCGCCACTCAACCCTCTGCTGGCCAGTTTTTTCAGCAAGACCATTGGCAACCTCATTGCAAGGAAAACTGAACAGGTAATGATGTGTGAAGCACATGTGTTGTGGACAGTGACAGTCATCGTCAGGCTATCACCAGTGAACTGTCACTAGGCTGCAGGGACAGCATTTTGACTGCTTACTGGGACATAGGTGGAACAGTGAGTGGCCGGAACATGAGTTAGAGTTTGAGGGAGAAGGTGGCCATCTCTGGAACACGTGGCACACCCTGCCACCCCAGGCCAGTTCATCCTGCCACTGAGAGCACAGGCCAGAGTCCTGGGCCGTGACTTCACTGTGGCAGAACCTTGGCTGGCCCCCTCTCGGGTCTGTGCTGGGTGTGGGTGGTGAGTGGGCATCCAGAGCACGACTGCTTCACAGGAAACACAGATGGAGATGAAGCCCAGGTGTGGGAGAAGGAGTTCATCTTTCAGCTGTAGTAAGGAGCTTCTCCTGCCTTGTGTCTGCACTGACATGGCCTCAGCCCCTTCATTCTGTGGACACCAGGAGGAGAGGCCTGATGGTGGGCCGTGCCTGACACCCATCTTGCCAGTCTTCTTTTCTGTCACCTCCACTCACCCATCCCTACTGGTTTACTTCAAAGCACATCTCAAACATTAGATCCTTTCTTCTGTGAGTATTTCATTATGTACCTCTTAAGAACTTTTTTTCTTTTATATATTAGTCCATGACCCCATCTGGGTGAAAAGGAGCAAACCTGTAATCCCAGCTACTTAGGAGGCTGAGATAGGAAGATAGAGAGTTCCAGGCCAACCTGGGCAACTTAGAGATACCCTGTTTCTAAAAATAAAAAGGGTACCCTTGATTATCATATCCCCAAAATATTAGCCATAATTAACATTATCAAGTGTCCATTCAGGGAGTAAAATAATACTTGGTGTCTGTATCTTGAGCCCTGAGAAAGGTTATTTTAGTCAGCGTTTTCAGTACTGTGACTGAAAGCACTGGCAAGAACAACATGGAGGAGGAAAAGTTTATTTGGTTGGTTTCAAAGGTCTCAGTCCACAAATGGCTGATTCTGTTCCTAAGAGCCCTAGGTGAGGCAGAACATCATGGCTGAGGAGTGGTGGAGGAAAGTGGCTGAGGACACAGCACCAAGAAGCAGAGAGAGCCAGATGCAGTGGTGCACGCCTGTAATCCCAGCAGCACTGAGCAACTCATGAGACCCTGTCTGTAAATAAAATACAAAATAGGGCTGGTCGAGTACCCCTGAGTTCAATCCC